AGATCTTATATTACTATAGCTCCCGGAAATAACAGACTGATTAACGACATCTCATAAGTGGATGGTATTAAAAGAATAAATCGACATCTTGCGGTAGTGGTAGGAGCGAGATCGGGGCATGACTACAAAGGTCGTATAGCGGATCCGTAGGCCATTAAGCACTGGACATTAAAAAATAATGAAAATTCTCTCATGCAGAAAACAAAAAGGTGGTTTGACAACAGAGACGCCGTTAGTGGCCGGCTAGCATAACAAGAATTTTGACCGTTTGACCGAAACTCTCCGGGTATTAAAAGTCGCCGCCCGAGAACAGGATGATCATTCTCTCGTCTGGCCTTGATCGTAAGACATGAACGTTGAGCCTCTTGTTTCTGGTGTTCACAAATGAATTTGTGGTAGAGTGGTTTTGATTGAATTACAACAGAGCTTCCAACAGCCAATTGTACAGTCTATTACATTTTTTCCGATATCAAGTAGATTTATTTGATTTACATACACAGTGCAATGTTGCTGGGAGTTACTCTGGGAGTTTTATGTCTCCTGTCATGTACCGCAGCTCAAGTGGAAGATGATGGTGAGCCGTTGACGGTTCCCAAGCCGGTAATGAGATTCATCTTAGAGTGTCAAAGATCCCGTTCCAAGGATGAGCTAATCCCCGTGTACAGAACCGAAATCAATGCGGACAGTGGGACCACATCGCAGCAGGTTTCTCTTTTAGCCATCGACGAACTTCAGGCGTCGCTCAAAGCTGCTGTCGAAAGTGACGACGTCACCGAACATATCATTAGTCGCATTCGAGATGAAATAGATCCTAATCCCTCCCAATCTTTCCGTCAAGAGTGTCCGCCCACAACTAACGTCATAAACATAGACGTGCCGCCGCAGGAGCTAGAAGTCTTTCACGCTCGCATGGAGCGCGTGATGCAACAAAATAACAATATTGTTTTGGGTCTTATCAACGACATGATAAGCACCAAGTTTACTGCTTTGCAGGATCAATTGACAAAGCTCATCAATAAAAGAACGGACGAAATCAACCAAAAGCTGAAACAATTGGTACCACCAAACGAAGGAACTGAGACGTCAGATAACGAAGAAGAAAACATCGAAGAAAGTGCTTCTTCTGATCCCGCTACAGAACAAACACCAGTTGACTCTAAAATTTCCACAGATGAAAAAAATTCAACTACCAATGCGTTGACCGATATTATGGAAGCTATCCAGTCAACTGGTGATACTAAAATTGAAATAGCGTCTAATTTTGCCATTAATGATGAATTGGAGTCTACGACTGTAATTAGTGCAGCTGCAGTGAGGCAATCCAAGCCAGCCGAAGCCAGGGAGGAAGCAACTGCAACAAACCTCGGCCAGTTCCTACAGGGCCCTCCTCGATTTGCATTCCCGTCGCGCAAGCGAGTATCTAGGAACTCTTAATAAATTAATCTTAAACAGGAGATAAATTTAAACGTGATTAGAAATGAAGGGCAGTTCTGTGATCATAATAATTCGGGTTCATTTTTCATGATTTGTAGGATAAGCTTTAAAATTAATTCCTTTCTATTGTTATTCATTTTCAAGATTTCTTATAATATTGTGAGCTTCTCATTTATGTCGTCACTTACTGCTTGGTTGAATTATGGGCAAGTAGCATTTGATCTTATATATCTCATCCTAAATAAAAATATTCTATTCAATGTGTACTGACTGTTTAATTATATTGGTTTTTAGTACAAAATTTGATGGAATATGTGTCATCAATCGAACGTTTCTGCATCAAAAAGGTTGTCTTGTACAATTTTTTCCGCGTTTAAAAATGTTTCTTATATCGGCCTCAAGAAAAAAACGCTCGTCCACGACCAATAATCTGATCACACTGCACGGTGCAGGGAATTAAATCTGTTGTAATTCGCAAGGCTTTCCAGACATTAATGCAATGACTCATTGAAATGCGTAATTGATTTATGATTGTTATAAAATTATGGGTGTGTATAAAAAATTAAAGGGTTATATGCATGTATTTTCAATATTGTAGAGGACAAAGTCCATCCCATGATCCTGTAGCGCGGATGAATAAAATACTAAAAATAATTAAGATTTGTGTTACTCTCATATCCTAAATTGAATAATACTGGCTGGATTTATTATAGATTGAAGTCAGTAAATGGTTTACATGATAATTCTGTTTCAAAACGACTACGAGGCGTATGTTCGTTCTATCTTCAAGGGAAAAAAGGAACTTTTTAACCCCTCGCTAATGTGAAGTAGTATTAAAAGGTCTTTAAATTAACAGCTTCAAAGTGACTACTTAAATGTCCAGGCACAAATTTATGATTGTTTCTTGCATTTGATTTTGCATATCAAAAGCAAAATCACAAATTACATGATATTTTTGTCACCAAACGATTGAGTGGGTTCATTCTATCTCATATGATTCTGAAATGGTTACTAATTGAAGTAATGAAATGTAATTAACTTTCATCCCCGACAACAACTATACAACCGTTTTAATTTTCCATTATCGTCACAGGTAATAACCAAAAAATAGTAACTACAAGATTGTGCGAGACTTGATAATCACAGGTGCGAGATGTTCAGTCATGGTTGAACTATATAAGGTTGACCCACGAGAAGTTCCGTCTTTCAGTTCAGCTTTCTTGTTACGTCACGTAGATCGAGAAACGTAAACAAAACCGTCATTCTCATGACGGATTGTTCGACTGGTTTGAACGCATTTCGGTGATTAGTTAATGCCCGTGACGTCACTGAGATCAGTGACGTCACAGGCGAACAACGAACTACATCCGCAATAATATACGTTTAAAAATTACTTTTTAAAGACAACAATTCCAAAGAATCCAGTATCTCCAATCTTACATATGTACAATGAATTTCTCATCTAATTTTCGAAAATTAAAAAATTTAACTTTTCAATTTTTTTAATATATTTAAATTTTTTTTAATATATAAATTTGTTTTAAATTATTTATTCTGTTAATCGATTCATGCATTACCTCTGACTTCACACATGTGTGCAAAATTTCAGATCAATTAGACAGGTAAAAGTGTGTCAAATATCAGTTATAAGATTTGTAGCTGACAAAATTATTTTTTCAATTTTTCTAATATTGAATTTTTTTAATTTTTAAAATCATTTATTTGACATTTGATTCATGCATTGTCTCCTATTTGACACAAGTGTGCAAAATTTCAGATCGATAGGATAAGTAGAAGTGTATTAAATTTCGACTACAAGATTTGTAGCAGACAGACAGAGTACAGAAACAAACAAACAGACAAGAAGTGAAGTTAAAGAGAAATGTTGTAATAAAAATGGGCTTCTGATGGGTCAACCTTATACTAGTTCAACCATGATGTTCAGTGGGCTGGAGACCGGTTTCGAGTGCCGGGTCACACCGCCATGCGGGGACATCGCTGCTCGGGCCCAAATCTCGCACACTGTTACCTGATACCCGTCATATATAAATGCGCTATCGTAGCTCCATCACAGAATGGGTGAATTAATCAATCGTTGACAAGTGTGTATTTGGCTCCGCGGGAAATAATAAAAAATTTTGCTTGCCATGGGATTTCTGCTTATCCCATCACTGCTTCGCCAAGTATCAGTCTCTTGTGCGATGTCTCTGCCTCACTCTCAGCGTTGTTTGTTGTTTTTGATCACACCGAAAAAAGAAGATTCTATTCTGCACTAAAAAACAATACTGTATAATCGCTTTGATTTTGAAGCATGTTATTAATTTATTTATCAACGTGGAAAGATATATAGTAGATAGATTTGAATATTACGGTTTGTGAAAATGTTGAGGCCCAAAGATCTGGAACATTTTTCAATTGAGGCAACATTCTCAAAAGAATCTTCTAAACTTCTCGCTTTGATGTTTTGCCGGCACGCACTAAAAAACAGTGCATCGAGTCAGAATGAGGAAATTAGCCCTTCTGTTTATGTGATGCGCTTAAAAATAGAACTAACAGCCGTTGAAACTATTATTATTACACATAATATAATTACCTAATGCTGAAAACCTCACGACTGTTATTTCACAAACATATTAAATGACCTCCGATACGCACACGGCTCAAATATCCCCACAAATGTTTTCCTGTGTCAACAACTCACACGGCATTGCGATTGGTTCGCTCGTATGCCCGGGAGGCGTTTCAGCTTCCGCACATCTCGTGTGCCCGCAGCAGCCGCGGTTCCAATGTCACCTCAAACCAAGGCTCGGACCAGTCGCCCCTTGCGGTACAGCAACGTGGGACTCAGATGGTAGCCGTGCTACCATCTGGCAAGATGGTAAGAAGAGAACCAACAGAAGTGACAGATTATACATACCAGAAAACACGATAAAATAAGAACATTTACCTTATTGAACCCAATAGATTACGAAGTGAAGCCTAGTGAACGCTGTGTGTTTTGCTGTTAGTGAAGTGTCCTGTTAGTTGTTTCCCGTTAGCTTTAGCTTCTGTACGCGTATCCACGCATGGTTCCCTACAATCTCAGCTTTTAAGTGTTACACTTATCCTGCTCATGTTGAACTCTAGCTTGCATTCCAGCAAATTTTAGAGAAGTTTATCATCGAGCGAATGAATTGTGCATCAATAAGCACTAAAGAAAAATCTTTTCAAGTACGATGGTCGGCAATGACGTTTCCCTGAATTGCTACACAAAATACAAAGCATAATTCGAAAGTAATTTTTCAGCTTATAGAATTTCATTTTAATGTAGGTAGAATAAAAAATAATGCGCAATTAAGAAATAAAAAATAATTCTTAGAATAACATAATTACGAAGAATTATTTCAAAAAGTGTCAGGCCAATACTGCTGCTTCTATGTTATAATTATTAACATGCAGACAAATATTTATGGAAAGCCGAGCTAGGATACGCAGATCCTCATATCACTTTATTTAGAGCTCGTAAATATCCTATGAAGTTGAGCATAACTATTGAGAAAGTAAACTCATTAATTTATGCAAAGACAATTCCCCCTTTAGCATGGAAACCTATCAGAATTACCTAACCCGAGAAAATATATTGTAGAATTTTAGGCCAGAAACATTATTTAAGTAAGGATATTAATTTATGGCTACTGTTAAATTGGTCATTCCATTAGCCTTCATTTGTCAATGAAACTATCTAATTACCGTAATTTTTAGTTAGCAGCTTCGTCATGTTTGATGACTCAAGTAGCATACAATATACGATGACATGCTCGATAGAGGGTTAGGGTCACACGAAGGAGATGCTGGAACCCATGGACAAGCTTGGGGCGGTGGCGCTCGGTGTGTTGTTGGTAGCCTTCGTCGGGGCGACGGTGGCCGTCGTCTTCATCTGCTGCAGGAGGCAGGGCTTGCGCCGGGCATCCACCTCGCATCAAATTTTCAACCACGCTTTCCGCAAGTGAGGCTACAAGACCTAATTTCTTCCAGGTTTATATCAATTGTGTACATTCGTCTCGGGGAAGGTTTTTTTTTTGCCGACAGAAATTTTATGTTGTATAGTTTATCTATTTAAAAGTAGATAAATTCTAACGCATTTGACTTGGAGTTACGTCGATGTTTTAAATATTTCATAATAAGCCACTTTCTAAAGGTTCAACTTCCTGGAAGGCGAAAAATTGCAGTCAAATTGAAATATACGTCTTTCGTTTGAGCTACTGACCATAATATAAGTAGAAGTACGGAAAAAATCATTGCCTTCTCAAAATTCATTTGCTAGTAACGGATGAGATTTGTCACAAAATACGAGTTTGTTGCCATAAACTGACATTTTTTAATTCATGCAGACCGCAGGTAATGCTGATCGATGACTCGGTGACTCCCATAGCAGAGAGTGAGAGGTATTCGAACCTGGAGCTTGAAGACGTCAAACTTGCCCCTCAGATCAAGCGAATACTAAACGATGTCCAGTGGGTGGACGATGCCACAGGTGAGAGGGTTTCGGAAACAAACTAATTAGCTCAAGTATATTTTTCGTGATAATCTTCAATTAAACGTTTATTTTAATGCACACTTGCTACCCCAACAATAATCAGCAAACGGTGAATTAGATATGTTATCTGTCGAGTAGCATGGTGAGGGGGGAAAGGGCTTAGGCGAGATTCACCTCATCAAAGCTCCAGTATTTTTTTAGATTTTGCTCATATTTTCGTATGCTACCATGATGTGATTATAGCCTTTTATTTAGGAATAGTACCACACTGCCTCGCTATTCTGAAGCTGTGCCACTACCTCACCGAGCGTCTGGTCGCCAGTGCCGTGGATCCCCTCACTCAGCCCCAGATCTCAAGGATCATCGAGGTGAGCGAATGAAAATATCAAATTTCAAGTAATCAAATCCTCCACGCCACGCAGGTTGGTGCATGGTTGAATTAATATTATTAATTCAATCATGGGTTGGAGTACGTAGTACTCAACAAAATCAAATGCAAAAATGGAGTGCATAACGCGATGACACCAAATCAAATGCATCAATGGAGTACGTAACGCGATAACATCAAATCAACTGCATCAATGGAGTACATAACGCGATCCATCCAAACATATTGTAAAGTTTAGACTCTTGAACCTATTTTCCAATGTCCGAGTGTTGTGCGGGACAATTTCATTGGTTCTCAGGGAGCATGTTAACAATATTCAAATATTATATTATCATATTTTGTATTTTTCAGGCGTCCCGGCGCGTGTCCCTCCGAGTGGACGACGTGGCGCGCGCCATGTACTCGTCCCTGGACCCCCGCCTGCTGGAGGCGCGCTTCACGGCCCTCGTCCTGACCCTGGCTCTCCTCACCGCCCACACCCACCCCTTCTCTCCCATCACGGGGGCAACCCCTCGCTCCTTCCTGCAGCGCGACATTGCCGACGCTTTAGCAGAAATGGAACGGCATGTCCAGGTTGGTTTAGATAATTTAGGTATAAGAAAGTACAGTCCCTCAATCGCACTTGCTAACAATTTTGACTGACATTTTTGCAAAGCTTGAATTTTTCCCCAAGGATGGCACTCTATAAGGTTAAATAGATCGGAACAATGAAAACATTTTGAACCTCTCGCATGTATTTCCGGTCGGTCTCCGAGGTTCAGTGAACGTAGAATATTTCTCAAACTAATGAACACGGCTCGATGAAACCTGGCACCTGCGTTCATTTCGACTTAGGGATGATGTTTAAGTTGTGACCATTTTTCAGATTTCGCTTTCGTTCGAGACGTAAGATGCAATGCGCGTAATCCAATACACAAACGTAATACAGTGGTTCGCAAAAGTATTGGATACATTGCCATTTTCTTCATATCTCAAGTTGAAGCGTGAGATTTTTAGCGCATTTTCTCATTTATGGAAAAAATGCACTGTTGTGCTCGCTATGTCCGTCTGTCTGTCTGTCCGTCCGTCTGTCCGTCCGTCTGTGACCTCAAGTTTTCGTCGGCGAGAAAATGCGCTCTCTGTCACTCACTGCAGTGAGTACTGAGTTATATTTTTTATAATATTTGGTCAGTATATTGCTAATGGTGCTAAAAACATTATTTAGAAAGGATATTGAAAAGAACGCATTGTTTAGATTTTATTCAACAAATAGAAAAATCAACCCACGCAAAAGTATTGGGTACATGTTCAAAAATAAACATAAATAACTTTTTTGAAGCACTCAAAAATTCGTTTTTCACTTTAGACATTCCACTAACCTCATAACGTTATCTAATTGGCCAAGTAGTTTGCTATTGTTTACGAGATTTTGTGATCCGGTGAAGATTTTATTCAGCTTCATCTTTAAAATATAATTTTAAATGGCTAAAACTCGAGAGTTGGCGACAGATTTGCGTCAAAAGATCATAGATTGTCACAAGGAACTGAAGGGGTATCGAATAATATCCAAGGAGCCTGATCTAACATTGAGTACAGTTGGAAATATCATCAGGAAGCAATCATCCTGATGATATCATCCGAGCATGCCGTTGCTAACCTTCCAAGGCCTGGTCGTCCAAGGAAACTAATAGACGGTAATGCAAGGTGGATTAACAGGAAGGTACAGAAGAACCTGTTTGTTGCTAGTGGTGAAATTAAAAGCGACCTGGAGGAATCTTGGATTGATATAGAAAAGGACACAATCAATCGTACTGGTCTTATGTCAAGATCATCACGAAAGATTCCTCTGTTGAAGTACCGACACGTGAAAACCACAAGATTTGGGGCATCGGACAAAATCCTGGTCGGACGAAAAAAAATTCTAACTTTCTAAAGGAATTTGATCGAACCTTGACATAGGACCAGTACGATTTAGAGCTCTGTTGATTGTGTCCTTTTCTACAAAAAAAGTTATATATATTTATTTTTGAACATGTACCCAATACTATTGCGTGGGTTAATTTTTCTATTTGTTGAATAAAATCTAGGCAATGCATACTTTTCAATATCCTCTCTATATAATGTTTCTAGCACCATTAGCAATATACTGATCATATACAGTGGGGGGAAATAAATATTCGTACACTTGAAAAATCGTATTTTAATGTATGTAAGTACACAAACTTAACAGGAAAAGTGATTTAAATTATTCAATGCGCCTCTATACATAATATAAATCACTTCTCCTGTTCAGTTTGTGTACTTACATACATTAAAATACGATTTTTCAAGTGTACGAATATTTATTTTCCCCCACTGTATTATAAAAATTTCGCACTTTAACTTGAGATATGAAGAAAATAGCAATGTATCCAATACTTTTGCGAGCCACTGTATGTGTGTAACCTTATTATCGCGGCGGACGAAGGCGAATTCTGAAAAATGATCATGACTTGAACATAATTTTTAGGTCATTATGAACACATGTGCAAAGCTTCATTGGGTTGCGTTCATTAGTTTTAGCGATATTTTATGTTCACTGAACCTTGGAGACTGGCCGCAAGACCGGATGAAAAAATGAGAAGTACATTTTGATAGCGTGCATGCCCACCATCAGCGTTTATGATAATTGCAAATATTTTGAACACTGTCATAAAAGTGGTGCCTATCATTGATCTGTAAGGTTAAAGATAATTATTCGATAGCAATTTAGCTAGTTCATTTGAGATAATTAAAAAAAGAAACACTGGAGAAGGTGTTAAACTATTTCATTCGTCAATTTTTATTTTTTTTTTATAATGAATGTAACGAAAACGACATAAATGGAAAATTACATGAAAGCTTTCAACTATGACGCTTAATGGCTCACTATCCAACTCTATAAGGCACCATTGCTGAATAATTTGTGAAAATATTTATTCATCGTGAGCAATGACCATCGAAATTCTACAGGTGTTGAGGGAAGCAGCCGACTGCTACGAAGAAATCTGCGACGAACCGAGCGTCTCTGCTGCCCCGCATTCCGCGATAACGTTACCACATTAGTTAACCTGGAGACCTTCGTGGGGTAACGATTGCGTCTACACACCAGTTATTCAATATTCTGTTAATAATTATGTCCCATAAATAAAAAAAGTGTGCCTCATTCATCGTTACATGATATAAGTATTAATACGTCTGCACCGCTGATACAGCACTCTATTTTGCACACATATGCCTTCATTGCTTTTGCATGCATATGCATACGCAATAATGAATTTATTAGCACATTAATTTGTTCGTCCATTTTATTTTAATGATAATATACTTAGTGCACAACGAACATATTAAACTTAATTTTTTTTGCTGCTCGGACGTATGATTCCGTGTGTATCATGTATACTTATTTTACTCATAAGTCACTGTATGTAATATATTATTTATCAATAAGATTTGGGTTAGACTTTGCTTTTTGTTAATCAATGTTGCTCTGGATGGAGCTCCTTGTAACATCTGTAGAATTCTTAAGTGCCAAATTACAATAAAGACGTCTAGATATGTCATATTTTTATACAAATTAATCCATGCAATTTCCATAGATTGATTTCTATCAGTAACGGGTGCTTTAAAATGACGATTTAATGACGAAATTTTCTAAAGTTCATCCAACGTATGCTGAAAATAACATCAAAACCTGAATGTATCGATTTGATGTAGAACGAACACCATAAAATGATATGCTTTTATTTTCATATAAAAATTTTGGCCAAACTACTGATTTGAATCAAAAGTTATATTACTTGTAATTTCTTTTCCCACAATGAGCGAAAACTTTATTTTTTATTACTTATTTTACAAAACTCCTGTATATGCTGGTTATGCCAGTAAACCTTCTAGAATGTCTGATAGGTAGTAGCATGAAAGACTAAAATGGCAGCTGAATCTTCTCATAGGTCACCCTCTGGTTAACATTCGCGTCCAATCTTATCAATTTCGCCTTTAAAATATTCAACAGTAGAGATCATATCTCTATTTAGCCCTTATATTATTGTAGGCTCGGACGATTAGTTTAGTGGTTGCACGTGTAACTTGTGATAGATTTTTATAATTCCGTTCGTTTCTAATACAATAGTGTTTTCTCGTAGAAATGCGCAATAATTCTAACATTTCGAGTATATTTGAAAAATAATTTCCATATTCCAATCGATAATTTATTCAACGAAAAGAAAATTTGCTACCTACATTATAATTTTCCTCTCAGTAATATACTGAAGTTAGTGAATTTTTCGCTATGAAAATTGGTATGATTATAATTCTGGCTGACATGGCATCTCATTGGATGGAGGCTTCAGCAGCAAGCGAACTCGATCGCAGTCGAAAGTCGAAACGCCTTGAACATTGGTTAATGAGATGTGGTGACGGTCGGTTGTTCGTTCCTGATTTTTTTTTCGGCATGTTTATTTTTTATATTTACTAACATTTTTGGTTTACGATCATTTACTTCTGTTATCTCACATTGTTCATAGTCTTTTTTCCGTAAATAAATTAATTTTTTTCTAGAAATATTTTAATCATCTCCTACGTGAATTTTATATATAGCCTATCACAATTTCGCTTCTAAGTTCTAAGCTGCTGTGGTGTTAGTTGGTCTGTTGGTGTCGATGGTGTGTGGTGAGTGGTCACCGTCACCGTGCATAATCTAGTAGCAACTGGCAAACCAGTTATTTTTTAGAATCAGTTCATTTTTTATTTTCTCATTTCTTCAAGATTTAAACCAATATCTTATGAATGATGATGCTGGTATGTGGTACCTATCCATGTTACTTTGCTAGTCACTGACGACTTATAGGCCTACCTAGGACTTGAAATTGAACTTGATGACTTGAAGGAGAGTCTAAAAAACTCTCTCAGTCTCTGCTTTGGCAGCTTTGCCACACCACACTGTGCCCTGTGGTGTGGTGGACTGGTGGTGAATGAGGTGTTGATGAATTTTCTTTTAATATTTTTCTGCCAAAAACAGAGTGTTTTTATTATCTTGGATAAGTTTACAGTTGACAACTGTTGAACTGGATGACTTGTGACATTATTTTCAAATTTCTACTATGAGATTAGTTCTAACTAATGCCTAGGAAAACAATATATAAAGGAAAAAGATAGTGTTTAAGCCATAGTGGCAAACCACAGATTTTTAGAATCAGTTCATTTTTAATTTCCTCATTTAGGGTAAATGTGCTATATTCCGACATCATGGGTAATTCCGACACCTCTCTAGATTTTCCTTTATATTAAGCTTTGTCTTAGTTCCACATATTCCTTGATGGTTGAGTTGAAATAGTGACGTAATACCTTTGACTGAGCGCCAAACTGTTGCCAGAACACTAGGTCTGGGCCATCTACGGCATCTAGCGGGAAAATATTGAGATCCAAAGAGAGACAGTGCACGCTAGGCCTACCCAGTGAGATCATTGAAAAATCTGTCAAAGTTGGCAGTTGACCTTGCTCTACCAAATAGTGATTAACTGTTTGTGTAGAAAGAATATTATGGTTTGAGACTTTTAAATAAGTCTGTGAATATATTAGGAATTGTTTAAGTATACTTGTATTTGCTGATTTCAAGTCATAAATAAATTAATAGATGATTAAGTTGAGAAATGGATTTAGACACATAAAAACTAATTCCAACACAACTTGAATTGGACACACCCAGCTCGTTCCAAGCTGTGTGCAAAAATTAAAATTTTCCTAATTAAAAGCTTAATAGCTGTTAATTAAAAGCATAATTAAGTACTAGTGTTCAATATTCAATAGTGTTCTAATTCAAAGCTGTGTTGTATTCCAAATACAGCTCACACAGTGATCGGAATTTGAACACAAGGGTGTCGCAATTACGTATTAGTAGAGTTTGAAGCATGGCCGTAATATGACTCACAACGTGCCAAATATAGTCACACGCAGCGTCAGAATATAGGGATTTGGTAGGTTTGCATTCTAAAGGCTTTTAAATAAATATGGCAACATTTTGTGACATGTCATTGTTGCTGGCGCGTAGTGCGGTGTTTTGAGAGTCACGTAAAGCAAACAGAACTCAAGTAACGCATATGGTTATTTTTTTATAGTTTTTACAACACTTCTCTTTAACTTCACTTCTTGTTTGTCTGTTTGTCTGTCTGCTACAAATCTTATAATCGATAATTAACACACTTCTACCTGTTCAATTGATTTGAAATTTGGCACACTTGCGTAAAGTTGGAGACAATGCATGAATCAATTGACAGAATAAATAGTTTTATAAATAAAAATTTTTTTTTCAATATTAAAAAAATTAAAAAAATAATTTTGTCTCCTACAAGTCTTATAATCCAAATATGATACAATTTGACCTGTCCAATTGATCTGAAATTTTGCACAATTGCATAAAGTCAGAGACAATGCATGAATCAATTAACAGAATAAATAATTTTTAAAATTTACAAAATTTTGATATCTTAAAAAAATTTGAAGAATAATTTTTTTTCAATATTTGAAAATGAAATTAGAAATTCATTGTACATGTGTAACATCCAAGATACTGTATTGTTCAGAAGTGTTGTCTTTAAAAAGCAATTTTTAAACGCATATTATTCATTTCTCGATGTGTCCTTAATGTGTCGGAATATACCACGTTTACCCTATCCAATGGTACCATTACAATCTCTGTAGTCTGTACATTGATTTATGCATTCACTAGAGATTCTGCAAGGGAGGGAGGTGGGCAGGGTCTTTAAGAGGAAATTTGCTGCCCAGCCTATGAATAGTCTCTACTCAGAGTCTCAGAGTGAAGTTTAGTCACCCTCCTGTGACCTGTTGTTGAACAGGGAGGCGTACATGTAGTTGCTCCCAGCCTCCCACCATCCATGACTGGTACAAGCTCCAGTAACATTTAATTCTGTTTCCTTGCTACATTGAGTGGCTATTCGGATGCGCGCAGCACTTTGTCAGGCTGTATTGAACATTCACACTTTTTGTCACGGCAAAGTTAATAAGTACTAGAGTTTTGAAGCTACAGCAATGAGACATATACCATTAGATTTGCAATTAAAATATCTAGCAATTCTTGAGCCATTTTTTTATTTTGTTTTAGTTTTGAAAACATTTGAAAAAAAGTAGGAAAAATTCAAAAATTTTTTGAAAATTTGAAATTTTTCAGAAAAATCATCATAACAAGAGAACCAAGAAGAAAATTGAAAAAGTGGCCCAAGAATTGCTAGATATGGTTTTTATGCATTGAATGATATGTGTCTCGATGTGTAGCATGTAATTTGCAACAGTTATTAACTTTTTTAGAGTACCCCCTTTTTAGCCATTTTCTATGAATTTCACCTTTTCTTTCATATCTTTTGAAAAATTCACATGAACAAAATAGTTGGCATTTTTGATTTTACATATGTACACCAAGTTTGGAGATGATCCTTCCCTAGATATTGAAAATAGATTTTGACCTACATGGTCCCCTTAATTGAAGGTTAGAATTTTAATGATTATATAGCCTAATATAGGTACCATCTATCGGGGTAATTGCAATGAAACTATTTGAAATACCGGTATTACAAAGCTGAAAATACTGGTGTAAACTTCAACATTTTTCTTTTCTGTGTAGCATAAAGGAAGTTGAGAAATCATACATTTACTAGCTCCAAAAAATCCATGTAGAAAATGTTGGAAGGTGATAGGGTAAACGCACCATATTCCAACATCGTGGGTAATTCCAACACTTCTCAACTTTTTCCTTTATATTGAGCTTTGTTTTAGTTCCACGCTTGCGTAGATGATTGAACTAGCAACATCATACTATTGCGCGCAATATTTCTGCAAAACACTAGGTCTGGCGGGAAAATGTTAAGATCCTCAGAGCGAAAGTCTACATCACCCAGTAAGAACATCGAAACACGCGTCAAAGTTGATAGTTGACCTTGCTCTACCAAATAGTGATAAACTGTTTGTGTAGAAAGAATATTATGGTTCAAGACTTCTAAAGAAGTCTGTGAATATATTAGATATCCTTTAAGTACCTATACGTATTTGCTGATTTTAAGTGGTAAATAAATAAATAGATGATTAAGTAAAGAGATGGTTTTAGACAAATAAAAACTAATTCCAACACAGCTTGGAATTAGACACACACAGCTGTGTTGTATTCTGATACAGCTCACGCAGTGTGTCGGAATTCCAATACAGGGCGTTGGAATTACGAACTAGGGTTTTGAAGCACTGTCAGAATAAGTCTCACAATATGCCAAATTTAGTCACACACAGCGTCAGAATTCATCGATTTTGTAGATTTGAATTCTAAAGGCTTTTAAATAAATATGGCAACAGTTTGTGACATTTCATCATTGCTGGCTCAGGGTGTGGTGTTTTGAGAGTGACGTAAAGCAATTTGAACTTGAGTTGCGCATATGGTTATCTTTTTATAGCCATTCATTTCTTGCTACTTCCTCAAAGTGTTGGAATATGGTGTGTTTACCCTAATATCCCAGTGATTAAAGTTCAGAGTACCAGGATTGGAGCAGAGAGGTGAGGGATTGATCCCAGCTCTGTGCGCCAGTTTCTGGTTAGAATCAGCAAGGAGGCCAGGTGGTCAAGCAGAGCAGAATTGTAGCAGTGAGTTGCGAGTTCAAGCCCGCAACAAGCTGTGGATGTTCTGGAATGCTAAGAATCGGCAACAGTCCTCCGGCCTGATAAACACTGAAACTGCTATTGGGTTGGAGTTCAGAGTACCAAGATTGGAGCAGAGAGGTGCAGGTTCAATCCCTGCTCTGTGCGTCAGTTTCTGGTCAGAATTGGCAATGAGGCTGGGCTGTAAAGCAAAGTAAAATTGAAGCAGTGAATTGCAAGTTCAAGCCCACAACAAGCTATGGATGTTCTGCAATGTTAAGAATTGGTGACAGGCCTCTGGCCTAATAAACTCTGAAACCGCTATATATATACATAATATCATATAATTTCAGTAGGTATGAAATCTTGCGGCTCTAATGTCATGTATTTTTGTTTGATTGAAAAAATTGCAGTTTACAGTCTGCAAACATGTCATTTCATAAAATTTTCAACTTTTGCAATCCTCAATACTTCGTCAATCCCGCCAAAATATCCTGTACAACATAATAACAAGTCAATCTAGAATGTTTTCTTAAAGATTGCATAGTCAGAGTGGTCAGACTGCATTTTCACGTGATCAGTTGCCACTTAAGTGAAGAAAAATGTTAGTATTGAGTGTTTTTAGGGTAAAATTAGAGATTAGGGTTAACACGTGCATGGGACTTAGTAAAAAGTTTGCGGCTGCCAGCTTGTAAATGGCTTTTAAGGGCCGAGGTATGGAATTCACGACTTGAAGGAATTGAATCCTGGCTGGCAAATCCATAAAACCATGGCTCGAAAAATTCAGTCGCAGCTTGCCAAGCAGATCTATTCCATGCCTGCATTTGGAGAAAGTATGCTCCTGTTTTGGCCACTATGCCCTTCAAATGTGTAGGTACATGGTCATCTAGAATGCCACTATGTATTTACTGTTGCAGACCGGTATTTGCTATAGAACTATTGACAGAATTTTTGTACAACCAAATGGGTGGCCATTTCTACAAGACAGAGTAATAAGGGACATCCATAAAAACGCATTTACCATAGAACCCTGGTTAGCAAAGGCTCCAGTTAACAAAAAATAAATTAATAACCAAGAATTTTGATTACATTTACTTTGCGCAGCAAAAAAATTTAACTTGATAAAAAATTAATGCATTATTGGTCATCAGAAAATTTTGCATAGAATGTCATAGATAGAATTGTGCACTGGGTAACATTGAATGAAAAGTAATTAACCTAAGCAATGATTTATTTCCAAAACAACATGATTGCCATAAAAATATTCCTTCCTGTTTCAGGTATGCTTTTTACAATCTTCTTTGGTGGTTATAGTGAATTCACTTGACCCACTTAAAATGATGTGAAAATACAAACCCAGTGTTGTAAGCTTAGAGAAACAGAAGAAATGCTATACAGCTGCTGATAGGAAGCTTGCAGTGGACAAGGTTGTTGTCAATGCTTGATGGCATGTCCATAGATATGGTACTATCACATCAATAATACGGTAATGTATGGAAATGGTAATATATCAATAAAGGAAAAACAAGCACAAATCACAGAAAAATGTCATTTATTGTACAACATATACAAAGAAAGAGGAGGACTTCAGAGTACTGTTAGTAATGGATGAGCCCACTCTGCATGCTTCAAAATAAAGTTTTATTTCAAGTGTCACAAATTACCTGGTTCCCAGGGGTAATTCGGGTGCTTTTCTTTTGCTTCTGGCACCTTACAAATAGCCAATGGAATTTTTAAAATGAGTCTAGAAGCCTTTTAAATGAGTCACACTTGTTTATGAAATGTTTCATGGCAAGAAGTTATTAACAAAAAATGCTTAAAATTGTTTGATGGTATATAATATACACAAATTAGTTTGAAAGTTCTTATTGTAAATGGAATTCTAAAAAAGGTGGGAAACATGAGGGGATTCTAGCATTGGAGCTACTTTTAGGTCTTTCTAAATACTAATCTGCTCAGAGGTCTTGCTACTCTTGCAGAAGACAGCCAAAAAAGTGAGGACTGTGGGAGCGCTGCTATTTTCAACTGTTGCCTGCTAAATGATGATACAATGTCATAAAATAAAACTGGCACCGCATTTCTAATTGTAGTGATGATGGCAGCTATTGGGAGGTACCGGGTAATTCATCTATCAGAAATCTTGCAGTTCCAAACATGATGGAAATGCTGTAGGTGCAGCTTGGAAGGTAGATATATTGAACTATATTCCATGCCAGCTGACAGAGTCCACACTCCAGAATGACAAATGAGGGATTTATTGTCTTTATTCATTTCTAATTGGCTGATTTAGTTCAAAAGTTTGTTCAATATCCTATCATGGTAATACTGGGATATGTTAAGGATTGCTTGATATAGAAAAGGTGAAAAAAAGTTTCTTGTTTGTCACTGTGAGGCAGACCTTGGCTCAAGATTGAAACTTTTCTTCTTATTACATATAAAAAATATCTTGCAGCTCCAATATTTTTGAATTTTTTGAAATCTTGTGGCACAATCATGAACTTTAGCAAACAATTAGTTAGGTAATTTGTCTAACAGGCATATTTCATATTTGAAAAAGCTAGGAATGCTCTAGTCACAGCTTGGAAGCCTGATGGTTCATTTATTTCAGCCTATTTGAAACAGTTGCTTCATTCTCTAGTTGTAACTTGTAAGTTCTAATTTGAGCTTTATTACAATCCTTTCTTTCAGATTATACTAGTCATATATAAGATTGTTAATTCAAACTTGATTTTCATCAGTCATGCATATCGAGGATGTTGATGCTCTACGAGAGTGGCTTACAAGCTATCTTGCGCCCCTGTGAGTTTTGGTTGCTTAATTTCCTTCAGTGTACTGGCCATCTTGCTGCTCATACAATACCACTTAGTATTTCTAATGTAACATACTACTTGTCATTAATGAAGTGCCAGTCATCAAAATTCCACTTTACCATGCCATTTGTAAAAATCCATATAATAAAATCTTTGTTAGTTAAGTTATTTAATGTTGTATTGCATTCAATAATATTTTATAATCCAATATAGCCTCTATTTTGTTATAGTTTCATTAGTACCATACTCATTGATCGTTAAAGATATCTTCATTATACATTTTTAATGGTGTAAATAATTGAAATTTGTATGATTGTGATACCAATTTCATGTGTGGTGCTAATTGAAGGTTTTCTATGAACAGGTGTGATGCTGATCCACCTGCATTAGCTCGCTACTGCATAGCTCTTATAAGGAAAGACAAACCAACCCCGGAGCTGGTGGAAGACATGCTGCAGCAGCTTGATGTATTTCTTCAAGATAGTGAGTGGTCTTTTTATTACATTTGTATGAAATAGTCTCTGGAAATGGTCTAGAAATTGCTAACAAGATTTTTCTAACCATTTTCTTCATGTTTGTTAGCATTGTATTTTCTGTCCATAATCTTTCTTATTTGCCCTCAAGGTAATGGAGTACCTTGATTTTTCATGTATCCTAACCAAGCTTTTTTGTTGCTTTAGCTTTGTTCTCAATTTTTTTTATACAACAGGCATCAGAACTTTAAAACACACATTGACGTCTGTATGAATTGAAATTCTAATTTCATTGCTTCATTCATGTATATATTGATTCTATCAATAATCTTTTTCCTCTTCTGAATGGATGGAGATAGTTTATAAATCTCAGCTTCTCAGTTCATTTATATATACCTAATTAATATATTTTTAAAATCAAGTCTGTAGATTGATTTTCTTTAGCATCTTAAAATTCATGGATTAGGTAAAATCTGATATGATACAATTATTTGCATAAAAATTTATATAGTTGAACACAGTGCAACATATTTCATTTGCTTATTCCACAGATACTGCAAGTTTTGTTGAAAAATTCCTGATAGTGGTTGAGAAGAAATCATATATGCCAAAGAAGAATGCATCAGCAGCAGCAAAGCCAAACAATGCAATGGATTCTTCTTTGGACTCAGCAGCAAAGCCTGAAGTCAAGTCCCTCCAACCAAGAACTCTGCTACCTCTTTCTGTGCCACCTTTACCTCCTAAAATTACTGCTGAAGATGAAACTCTGCCTGTGCTTAGAAATGGCAGTAATGGCACTGTGGAGGTAAGTTGCAAAAAAAATTTAAGAGTATTAGCGTTTTTATTAAGTTTAGTCAAGTATTTTAATAACTTAGTACTGAATCCCTACAGAAAAAAAATATATACATGTATGTTGGGTCACAAAGCTATCAGCGTCATTATACAATTTCTTTACTTGCTGGCTGAAACAACCTAATATTACTCATAATCAAAAGTTCATTTGATGAAAAATACAATTTATTTTGTTACCTGTTGAAATACAATATGTATATAACCACTTACATGTGCAATTTTTTTGTTTCAAAACCTGTTTCAAATTTTTTATATATAATAAAGGCCCCAGTGAAGAGTGGCATAACAAGTGTAGTTGCTGTTGAAATGCCAACCGGTGCAGCAAGCGATGCTGGTGTTGTTGTTCCTCCTCTGCTCTCAAAGAAAGATGATGTGAAGACCAGGAAGGATGTGAGTTGTAATGTTTAGTGAACTGAAACCAACTCGTTCATGGCGGTTGGCCCGTGAACCTGAATCTCGTTTACATAGATGCCATTTAGCAAATGATGATCAAGGAAATAACTGTGGATAATATGAAATTTGCACTTCTTCTATAGGTTTAAATGTATATGAAGTAATCGGAAAGATGTTTCACATGTTTTCTCAAAGTTGAGTAGTCAAGTGGCTGGAGGTTTGAATGGCCTGTGCAGTTGACTAATACTACACTCTAGCAAGTAACCTAACAATAGTAACGCAAATGCATCTCTAAATCGGCGTTACTCAGGATCGGGAAGGTGGCAGCTGGCGAGGTCGATCCAGGGACCGACGTCGCAGCCGCAGCCGCGGTCGCGGTGGCCCCTCGTCTCGAGTGGCGAAACATGACGAGCGACCACGCAGGAGGTCCGTGCTCCAGTGGCGTAGTTTTTCCAGATTTTCTATTTAGAATTTTTTAGTCGCACTCACGTGGATGTGGTTTAGTTCATTTCCTGAATTCCAAATTGATCCTTGTTTCTGTGATTGTTTTGAATTGATTTTTCCTATTAGGTTTAGCTTTTGCTTGTGTCAATGCTCTGACTTCTTAACTTCATTTCCAACAATATCTCACAGTGTCAATGATTGTTGACTGCATCATGCATTACATAAAACGATCAGTACAGTTTTCCTGTGATCCTTACATGTGCTGAAGTTTGAGGAGCATCTACATGCGATTATTTGATTAATTTCTTGATTTTGCGTCTGTTTTTTTTCAGATTCCGACGTTCATGGTCTCGAAGCCCTTCTCCAAGTCCTCGCTCTCGAAGTCCGCGTCACACTCGCTACAGCAGGACTTCTCCCTCTCGTGGTCCTCGTAATCGGTCTCCAATGCGACGTTCCCGCTCACCACGTCGTTCCACGTCTCCTAAGCTCAGATCCCGTTCTCCCAAAACTGCAAGATCACGGTCTCCAAAACAACATTCACACTCGCCGCTGCTACAACTTCATTCACCAACACTTCGGTCCCGTTCTCGATCTCCTTTAGGGCTTCTACAGCCTCGGTCTCCTCTTGCTTCGTGTCGACGCTCCCCACTAGGTGGTCGTCGGTCACGATCCCCTCTTTCCCGTAGACGTTCACGATCCCCACTTAAAGGGAGCAACGGTGGTCTGCTGGCTTTGCCAGACAGTCCCATTGGGGGCCAGTCACCTGTACTTGCTGACACTGCTGGTGGGTAGTGTCTTGCTTATTAAGCATTTTTTAAGTTCGATCATATGAACATTTGTATGTTTAAGTCTCTTCTCACACTTTCTTGATTGTTTACAAAAAATTTTTACCACAGACCAAGAGGAGTTGTCACCAGATGCTGACATGCCCCACACGAAGCTGTCATCTGGCCGCCGAAAGAAGCACAGATGCAAGGACTACGATGGTGAGAAATTCAGTGATGTCATCTGCATTAAAGACCTTCAGGCTACCACAGATTAGAAATAGACTAGAAAAAGTTACTGTGCGAGTTTGTCGAATGAAACGACAGCCGTGATGCACCTTATGCTCCTTATTTGTTTACTATATATAGTTGAAAAACATTTTGTATTCTATTCTATTCTGCTTGAGTTTTAATCTTTGATTCCATGACACATGAACTGGAAATTATTTCCCAATAATGATAACAAAGCCTTTCTCCAACTCGTGTCATTCAGAAAGTTTTGGTTTGCTTTAAATAAAAAAAAAATGGTATAAGGTTCATAATTTACTAGGATCAGGTTCCAACTAGTTTGCTGTAAGATGGTTGATGGAAGTAGTGGTTAACATACGTGGGTTGTGCAGAGAAAGGCTACTGCATGAGAGGTGATCAGTGTCCGTACGACCACGGCGCCGACCCCGTAGTGCTGGACTTCCCTCCGTCCACCCCATACACGGCTGCTGCCTCCCTACCTCCTGACGCTGCAGCTCCTCTCAGCCAAGGTAGTTGGCTCGCTTGAAATATCAGATGACGCAATCAACACCAGTATGCGTGGAAAAGAATTTTCCTTATTATTCTGAAAAACACAATCACTCTAAATGGAGGCCTTTCTGATGATCAAAATTCTAAATGGATAATTTTTTCTGATGATCTGCCATTTATGGCATTTTCTTTCTTTATAGAACACCATGTAACATTTCTGTTACATTTAATATTATAATTAATTAGCACAATACCTTTAATATTATATTATCACGTCCAATAATAATGATTTAGTATATTATCAACTTGTATATCACTAGCTATTGCCTGTGTGTTTTGTGCAGCTGGTGGGCTTGGGGCCAACTTAGGAGTACCCCCACCTCCCCATCTGGCTGGTCGCCTCACTCGTCCTCTTCCTGCTCCCTCTTCAGACCCGCTCAGTGAGTTTAGTTGTCACGCGAAATGTAGATTTAATTTCACACAAATCGGTCGCCTATGGGTGCTCTTTATTGCCAACGACAACATATATGTACTACGAGATAGTTTGTTCCCTTCACCTGTAGTGTTTTAGGAATTTTTATACGTTATATCATTGAAGTTTCGTGACTTCTCTGTATCACATTTTTAATGTCTATTTGAATTCTTTTTCAGATGAGTATACACCGAGTGACCCGATCCTATGGGGTAACGCTCCGTCGAGTGGGTCTCTTAATACCTCCCTCCCTCCTCCTCACTTCTATGGCAAACCTCCACGAGGTGGCATGATGATGATGGGACCTCCACCTCCATTAGGACCCTCCAACTTCCTCCCTATTCATCATCCCCCCCCGTCCCTCCCTATCCATATGCCTCCACCTCCCTTCGTGGGGCATCCGCTGGGGGCTCGAGAACTGATCAATGTTACCACAGCAAACGGCGGACTCTTGAACAAGGTACTATCGCATTTATTCCATTGTAATTAATAAAGTCTCCATTAAAAAATAAAAAACTTATGCGCATTTTTGAGATTGGGCATGTTGATGGAACTTTTAATTTTACTCAATGATCTGAATTCTGTTTATTAAGTTCTTTTTGGCTTGAAGTCACGCTAGATATTACTCATCACTGACTGAAAATACGAGTAGTGGCTATTTCTTGCCGAAACCTTGTTTTCGAGCATCTAAGTTGAGTTGATGCAATACATTTTTGTGCGCATCTATTAAACTGTTTTGGGCAACTTGCTGACTGGAAAACATTCAGGGTACCATGCGGACGTCTCTGGCCCAGCGCCTTGGTCCCCCAAGTGGGCGTGGGCCCAACAAGTGGGATAACTGCTCCATTGAGCTGCGCAAAGTGCCGCGCTTTATGAACTCCATCACCCACCTTAACTCGCACTTTCAGAAGTTCGGCAAAATCGTTAACATGCAGGTAACTTGAATTTCCTGTCATTCATATCATCTATGATAATTTAGAAATGTAGAAAATTTACCGAGATTTGCTGTTTTTTATATTTTTGTAGCGGTTTCTTCTCAATTAATTTCAATCTGTGACAAATTGCTTCTTTACTTATTCCGTTATCTTACTTTTATTGTTCTGTTTCTGCTAAGTTACCTTTACCTAACATAGAATAATAGGCAGAGATTGATTCAAAATAATTATAATGGTCCTCGAAATTTCAAATTCAAATTAAATTATACTCCTCAGTAAGAAGCCAAGTCATTGACTATTGCAGCACTTGATACAATCTCGTTCCAAAATTGATTTCTTTTCTGGGCAATCAGAGTACCAAGACACAGAACTAAACGAAGAAGATTTTCCGAGTGCACCTTGCTATAAAAAAAACTATAGCTGTAAGAGGTGCAGATTATTACACATTTAGTTACGCATGAAACGAGATAGAAGAACTGCATATCAAGTAGGTATTGCGTTTGACTGTCAATTCTGCATCCCTAACTGCAGAACTTAGCTCAAGACTAGTGAAAAATGCTGCTTGAAGTGTCATAGAGAACCCATTATTTGACTTGCAGTCAAGGACTACTACACACAGGACATGCATAGCCTATGTCCAGCCTCTGCTAGCAGAGGCGATCGCCTACACTATGAAAATGCTGTTGTTTTAGTGGCATCAACAAATGATATGCCCATAATTGTTTCATACAATAGTATTACAATGTGTGTAGTAGTCCTTGGTCAGATGATTTTTTACATTGTAATACTATTGTATGAAACAATTATGGGCATATCATTTGTTGATGCCACTAAAACAACAGCATTTTCATAGTGTAGGCGATCGCCTCTGCTAGCAGAGGCTGGACATAGGCTATGCATGTCCTGTGTGTAGTAGTCCTTGCTTGCAGTTTGAATCATTGTTCTAATGCCTTCAATTGAAGAAGTACTCATCTGGCCTAGTGTTGCTTTTTTGAGCTTGCTTGATAATCAATGCGTGTTTACAGATACAATTTGAAGGCGACCCTGAAGCTGCTGTCATCACGTTTTCCAAGCATTCTGAAGCCAACGCGGCGTATCGCTGCACCGAAGCTGTGCTTAACAATCGCTTCATTAAAGTATTGTGGCACGGAGGACAGGGCGGCCGAGTGACCAATCCAAGCGCGCCTATCACGGTACGAAGATACGAGTAGCAATTAGCCTGTAGACAACTTTGATCAATGAGGCAGTGTGCGTGGAAGGTACTAACTTTTTTTTTTAAATTTTATTAGTAGGTTCATTGATGAATCTTCAAAGGTCAGTTAATTCCGAATTTTTTCATTAGTTTGTGTTGGTCAAGGTTTATATGTACTATGACGTAAATGTTAAAGTCTAGCTTGCAGCGTAAACTCGTGTAACCTGACGCACGTAACAATCAGCAATGCCTATTATTGAAAATTTCTCACCGTAATAAATTAAATTATTTTTACTAAACTGATGTGATAAGTTCTTTGTAGCGCATTTCTCATTCATGGAAAAATGCACTATTGTGCTCGCCATGTCCGTCTGTCCGTCCATGACTTCACGTTTTCGTCGACGAGAAAGTGCGCTCTCTGTCACTCACTGCAGTGAGTACTGAGTCATATTTTTTTTCATCCATTACTCGTAGAAATCAGCTGCAGTGGTCAATGTGCCCTCTACATCAACTATAACCTCCACTAACATGGTTTGCTGTTCTCTCTTTAGGGTGAGAGAGGTACTGCTGTACGGCACTGCAATAAATCCAAGAATAATGTTCGTTCTGCTGTCAATGTCGAGGCAAGTGCTACTGAAGGCTTGTTTTACATGGCAGCCATCTTGTCTGGTGTTGTACGGGTTTAGATAACATGCGTGTTTTTTGGTTGGAAATAAACTTAGTAATAAGGAATCTTTTTGTGCTCTCATTGACAAAGATAGTCGATCATGTACGCGTTTTTGTATTCACACCTGTTACTGGTTTACTAGGTTTGATATTGCAATATACCACCTAGCCAAGAATATGAACAAAATCTAATAATTAAAATAAATTGTTCATTTTACGCTTAGACTGAAGGAGGTATGATAGGCCCGGCGTTAGGCAGCACTGCCGAGACGGAGAGTGCGACTGCCTTGCCCGACTCGTCAACAGCCACTGAAGGCAGCGCCTTAGCTAAACCCGCGCCTCCCAAGCTCACGGCACAAGAGATCAAACAACAGCAAATAGAAGTAATTTTTTCATATATATCAAGTCACAAAAAATTACTTCTGAATATTTTCGCCACATTTTAAATTATAAAAATTTCAGACATAATGGATGCGTGTGTATTAATGACTAACCAAAGTCCTTTGAACGTCGCTGAACGAGGAACCCTTTCAGTGCTGAACATATCGTCACGCTGTCGTTCAAATTTCTCATTCGTAATTTTTTGATTTCACAGTTATTCCTATTCTACTTGTCCAATGAATTAATTAGGAAAAATCACAATTTTGAGGTAAAAATATTACACAAATCTGACGGTTAACAGCTCTATAATTTCTGTGATAAGTCTGACCTCGTGTTTTCTACAAACTGCATCACAATTTACTTCTATGAAAAAATAGGTATTGGAAAAATAATGCTATGCTGCATAATGCAGGATAATAGTCTTTGCTAAGAAAACTTTTCAATTCTATCTCTGTCTCACTGTTGGCACTCTCTCCATTTAACTCGTGTCGCAAATTCTTTTCATGCTGTTTATGGTACGATATTTTCGGTGCAGTTGATCATGCAGCAGCAGCAACAACTCGCGGAAGAAGTAGCTCGCAGGCAGCAGGAGGAGAAGAGGAAGGCTGACGCTGCTAAGCTTAAGGATGAAGTACGAGAGCGCACGCAGCAGCTACTAGACAAACAACTGCAGCAATTGAAGGTAAAGTAGGTTTCTCTGACGTTTCTCCTGGTTGGGGTTAGAAAAATGATTCTCAAGTTCACCAAAGATAATTTTATGTTCTTGTTAGGCTGACTCTACCAAGCAATGTTCGAGGATGACTAAATAGCCATCTAATTTATTCTGAATAATTGCTGGACCATTATTATTCAAGGTCATAATTTTGAACTATTTTTTGGCAAGCACATTCGGCCTGTGTATGCCCGCTATGCCGTGATGGAGAATAGAAAGAACTTGTGTGTATTTAGAGTGATTCATATTCATTACAGCTCGTTCATTACCAATCATTTATGTTGTATCGACGCAAGTCGAAAATAATAGCATTACCACAGCTCTAGATTATCGTAAAATTCTGGTCTCATGTCAGCTACGTTTTTTATATACAGCTGCTACTAAGTAAGATGGAGAGTAGCCGCACAACGGCAACAAAAGCTGAGCGACTGGAGATGCTCAACGCAATTAAGACTCTGCAGTCAAGCATTGAGACAACAAAACAGAATCTCAAAGCTTCGTTCCCTTCAAACAAGATCCACGCTTTTAATTTGAAATCCAGACCTGCTACCGTCTTGCCTCAGCCAACTGCTCCTACAGCAACTACTGAAACACCTGTCGGTTCAAAGGTTGCTCCTGCTGTGCCAGGCGCAAACGATGCTGCGCAGGTCGTTGCTAAGGGCTCCACTGAAGTAAGTTATCTTATAATGCTCTATCAATATGATTCAAATAATCGATGCATAATTTTCTAGACCTTTTTCTGGAAAGTAAAAGGCATTTATTAAAGGAAATTACAGCATTTAGTTTGATATGCGAAGTCACAGGGCGGCGAAGTCCGTGAGCGAGGAATTCGCGACAAGGATGTGGAACCCGTCTTTTTCTAGTGCGTTTATACATAGTATGTTGCCTTTGAGTGCCGAAAACTAAAAACTTCAATGAGAAGAAATATTTGTATCAAAAAAGTACGTCCTGTGCAAGTGCTTCCTATTGCATCTAGTGATTAACATTCTGAGTTTTTAACACAGTTTTTGAGAAAATCCTAGTTAAAAACATTTGGTTGTTATTTATTCATTTGCCAAAATGACGCCCATCTCCTCCTCCCACTTGCTGTGTAGCTCACGAAGAAGATCCTGGACACCGAGATGGACGTGTACGCTGTAGCAGGAACAGAAGCAAAGAACGGCAAGGCCGGTGACGCGGTAGTAAAGGCAATCAGCAGCGCTGAGGAGCTGAAGCAGCTTAAGACTAAACTGGCGCAGCTCAAAGCAAACGCCAGGCAACTCACTTCAATGAGAGGGTAAGATGCAGTGTTCCTTCTAATTTTCAGAATAAGCGATAATTAAACTTGAATTTTTTTCCCTCGTTAACGCAGCAATAATTTTCTACGGTTTTTTTTTCAGGCGCGGCCACTCGGTTGCTATGCGGGGGACCCGCGGTGTTGCTGTCCAAGGTCGTGGCCGCAAAGCGCTTCCTTCAGCGGCTGCTGCCGCTGCTGCTTACCTCCCGCCCACTGAAAAGACCTCGTGCAAGCTCCACGCTAGTGGCTTTGAGCCTGAAGACAAAGACGCAGTTCTTACGCACTTTGCTGTATGACAATAAATTGCTAACTTGCAATAAGCGAAATCATTTTATAATTAATTTGATTTTCATTTTGATTCTTCATTAATTATTTCATTTTAATTTGCATAGCTGTTTTTAAGGCAGTAGGATGTAATGATGGAATTGATGATTTATGAAATTTTGTTTTATTTACATTTTTTTTTCTTCCGGAGCATATTTTCGTCATAGATCGTTCACTGAAATTATTCATTGTTACCATACTTGACGACCCACAAATGTTCTTACAGAGCCTGGGAAATGTGATCAGTTTTCTGTGGGATGGTTTGACGCCGTCAGTGACGGTGGAGTACTCGACTAGACGTCACGCTGAGAAAGCCTTCAGTGAAGGCCGCATGATGGGTGACCGTCTTATGACGCTCACGTGGGTTAGCGAGCACAAGGCGTCCGCGCTGCCACCCGTGCCTTCCACTCAGCAGTACCAGGACAGACAATTCGACCCTGCGTCCATGCGACTGCAAGAAGAAGATGATGATGACGATGACAACATTTTCGAACACAAGACAGCGGTACCCGAGGTCAAGCCACGTGCTCCACGACCAGTTTTGGTTGATGGCTCGAAAGATGTTACTCGCACAACAAGCAAGATGGAAAAACAGGAGCCGCAGGATGCCGAAGTCTCAATCGTGGATCCTCGAGCATTGAAGGAGGAAGTGGAGATAGAGAAGGTTAGTGAAACAGCATTACAGATTCACTCCAGGTGTGACTTGAAAGGACTTTAATTAAAAATAATCCAACCTTATTTAATTTTTTATTTGCAAAATATCTTCGATATAAAACATGTGCATTTGTTTAACTGGGAAACTATCATAGTTCCATAAAGGCGTATACGATTTATCAATTAATTATCACAACGCATCACTTTGTATCGATTTTTTTATAAGATTCTTCATCTTCTTGCATTGCAGAAGTCGAAACCAGTTAAGCACAGACTGTTGAGCGAGTCCTCGCTTGTATTGCACGACGAGCTGCTCCTGGAAGGCGACGAAGAAGTCATCGACTGTGACGATGAGGATGACGAGCGCGAAGACAGCTCCTGGAAGCGCTGAGCCACGTCGCCTGTGATCGCCGAGGCACTAAAACTGCCCTAGTGCTAGGATACACGTTTATTCTGTTTGGTTATTATTTTAAAGTTTATTTTTGGTCTATAAGTTCTTGATATCATCAACTCCACCTATCGCTGATTGCACCTCCTTTGGTAGATGTTTAATTTGTAGTGACGATTTTTCAAGATTTCAGTTTTTATTCTAGCATCAACTTTTGAAGTTTTGAGTCGGCCTCAAGTACAAAAAAATGGTCGCGATTTAAAATTTTTGTACATACGAGAATCCCTAATTCTTTTTCGTATCCATTGATGTAGCAAGTTTAGGTTCTAGGCCTGAAAAGATAATTTTTCTAATTTTTTCATGATTCTGCTGTGTACAGTTTTCTCAAGAATGGAAGACCGACATGTCCGATCGGTCCACCGAGCGATTTGTGTGTAAATTACTCCTTCCTATTGTATATTCACTAAAAGCTGAATTCTCGCTAACATTATACGTCAATATTTACGATTCGTCGTAATGTTTTTTTTTTAGAAGGCTTGTGTTACACGTTCCTACAGTTGAATATATCAGTTACTAGGGAACGCTATTTGGTTTGCTTCGAATTTCATTCATTAGTGTTTTTGTCTATAGACATCCGATTTAAGAAAATTGATTTTTCTTGAATTTCTAGATTTTTCTAGCGTATCAACAGTCTGGTGTGAAAGATTTGATTGTAAGGAAGTTTAGTTGTAGGTTCATCTGAATTGAATAAGTATAATTGGACTATTAAATAAGAAGGAAGTGGATGATCATCAAAGTTTGTGTTGCTGTCGAACACAACGCAAGTTCATTATTTCCCGTTCTCTTATATGTTCTGTCAGTCATCTTAGATTGTTAACCTGAATTAATGATAAGTCTCGAATTTATCCTAGTGTTTAAGAGTAGAAATCGACAATTTGTTCAAGAAATATTTAAATGGGATCAATACTTTTGTCTAATGCTGCTATTTGCATATAATGCCATGCTTCAACTTATACATCTTTCAATAGTTTCAGAAACACATCATTGCACAGAATAATGTATTCTCGTTTCTGTGTGTGTGAGCCCACTGGAATAGTTGAATACGACGAAGTAATGATGGTTGCAGATTAGTTCCATAGATCTTAGCTGGGAAGATTCATATAAATCTTCCCACTGGCTTTGTTAAAATGTTTTTCGAAAAAATAAGAGGACATAAAAAAAATTGCCTCTGAAAAAATGTGGTTTGATGAAAGGAAATATGGAGGATAAAAAAATGCAAATGAAAAGAATATACAAACCACTAAAAAAAAAAAGAAAGATAGAGAGTTGGTTGAAGTACGCAAGTTGTTGGCGTTTCATTCTTATCCTTTTTAGCCATTATCACCTCCCACAAGTTCCATCTGTCACTTGTCGAGAGGGAGGGGGGCTTAGATTCCTTCAAAACGGAAGGGATCGGGTGGAGGGTCCAGACGAACTGTAGTGGTAAACTAGTTTTCTTGTGAGGGCCTGAATATACCACGTGCGGAAGTTCGTAATGACCGTGCCTCGGAAAGACACCAGGGGATACTTGGACCCGACCTGCCGGCTCCAATCGACATAAACGGCGAGCATTAGCTGAGGGACCCCTAAGCAGACAGAGGTTAGCTTTCAACTTGGGTGCCGCGCGATTTTCCAGTCTTAGATAGTCGTAGAAACCGGCGATCTGATGAATTCGCGTGTGCCAAGAAAGTCGAAGCCAAAACCATTGCATAAACAAGTGCATACGAGCTTTCGCATATAAATTTAACGTTGAGTATTCTGGACTAATATTCACAAACGAGGTTTTTCGCATTGACAACTAACGAAGTCCAACACTGCGGTATTTATGTAATGCAGTTGACCTTGACTTGCAAAGTAATCCAGAAAACTGAGGTTGCGAATGGGACATTTCTTGCAAAAGTTGCAAATTTTTAATTAAAAGCAAATCCATTATCGGTCTACTTCTCAAGACAAGGACGCAGCGACATTGGCGCGCACGAGAACGATCGGGTACCGTAATTGCCCCTACAATTCCAAATGAAGATTCACTGAACGCATCGAATCAGTGCGGATGCCAGTCCATGTACTGCTATGCACGCTTGTTGTTGTTGTTGGTTGCGACCGTCACGCACGCCGGGGGGAGGCTCTGGTGGCGGGCGGGGGGCTGGAACCGGAAGAGGAGGGAGGTGGGCGAAGGCAGGGAGGGTGGTCAGGAAAGCCGCTACCTCCACGAGGCTGTCCCACAGTGAGGAGACGGGAAGGCGGGGCAGACGAAGAGGTGCTGAACGGATTGCAGGGGGTCCCCGCATTCCGGGCAGGCGGAGCTAGGGGAGCGTCCGATCCTGGCGGAATAGGACGCCAGGGAGCTGCAGTATCCCGAGCGGAGCTGGGATAAAGCTGAACGGTAGGGGCGAGGAAGTGAGGTCTCCGCTGAAGCAATCGGCGGCGGCGGGGCAGCAAGGACAGCGTTTATGGCGGCAGTCGCCGCCACGCGGGAGGTGATCTCCCTGCGGAGAGACCGCTTGGCTTCTCCGTNCAAATTGGATTGGCTGATTGGGGGGAGGACGGTTACGCTTTCCTGCTAGGGAGCGTAGGAGATTCCAGTGCTTGGACTGGTTCGTGCGCCTGCAGCACGACGCAAGGTGTGTTCGCCATTTGTCTCTGGCGTGGGCCTGAATGGAAATACTAATTTCCAAGTTAAGATCTGGGAGCCGGGGGTCTGTTGGATCACGTGCCCTGATGTCATCCCGTTGCTCAATGAGCAACCGGGTGCCAGGGTTGACCGAGGGGGAGAAGTCCTTGCGAAGCCGGCAGGGATATGCTGTCTGGCTGCAGCGATCAGGATTTCCCTCAAGGTCGACTCGCCGCCACACGAGGTGGGGGGAGGGACCGTCTGGAGAGCCGCTTCAGTGGCTGCCGTGTAGGTGGGCCAGTCAGTTTTTTTGAAGTTGACGTAAGAGCGGGCAGCTCGGGGGGTCGAAGAGTCGACGGAGGAAGGGAGGTGAATCAGAATGGGCAGGTGGTCCGAGTTCAGGGCAACTTGAGGGGTCCAGGAGGTGTCGAGTAGAAGGTGATCGCTGATGATTGCGAGGTCCGGCGAGGAGGGTGGGCCGTGTGAGGGGCGGCGGGTATGGGAATCTTCGTTGAGGAAGGCGAGGGAAGAATTGGCAACGATATCGTCGACTGCGGCTCCACGCGCTGCGGCTCTTTGGTCGTCCGTGTGGGAGAACCAGGAAGGGTGATGGGCGTTAAAGTCGCCAACTATCAGACAGTCACCCGGTAAGGAGACTATGTCCGACAGTTCCGGGGAATATCCCGCGGGGCAGGAGGAGGCCGGTGGGATATAAACATTAATGATGCGGAGAGGGGAACCATTGACAGGAATGGAGATTGCCAAAGCCTCCATGGTGGTGTCGCCATGCAGGAGGGGAGAGATGTCTTGCCCGGTGAACGAGACGTCGTGGCGAATCAGAATGAGGAGACCGCCACCGTGACCGCGGGGGCACCCTTCACCCTTGCATATGTGCTGATTTAGCCGCCACCCCACTGCCGCAGTTTAGTCAAGTGGGCACCAAGTATGAAATGAGTAACAACAATCTAATTCTATGAAGGATGATCTAACCTTCGATGTACGAGGTCTAACATGCCGTACTCCAGTATAGGCAGCCGTCTGTGGCTGTAATGTTAAAAAAAAATCAAATGGAAACTAAATGTTCTGGATCACTCATGATTTGTACCGTTACGAGGCTTTAAGCTGGCGCTTGTTGATGAACGGCTAAATCAACGGCTCTCGTGAATGTAGATCATCACTCCAGGTCTCGCCTTACCCGAACAATCCTGATCCGATTCTCCACAAACTGAAATTACTGGCAACTATCCCATAGGCTTTGATGTCCTCACCAAGTGTGTTGTGCGCCTCCAAGTGTGGTTGGTCCCTGGAAACTAGCCCTAGACTGGTGTGATCTCTAAAGTAGTCTCTATGCTTTGATAGAATACTAGTCTCTTTCTTGCGTCTAAAGTAATCTCTCTCTTGCTTCGGTCTTGCGCAGACCATAGTCGGGTCTACGCTGTCTCCTAGGTGTGGTTGCATCTATTCGTAATGCTATGGCCAAGTCAGACACTTGAGTCGGCGCGGCAGTCGGACACTCTGACCTGAGCTGGGTTCTGACCCCGACAATATTCCGTCCTGCGGAAACATGCGTTGCACTATTACTTATCACCCGGGCGGTCAAGGGGCCAAATGTTCCCGCTTCGAATGCTTCTATGATTTTACAATAATAACTACATTAGCTATGGAGAAAGTAGGCGAACGGTAAGTAGCCGATACGCCACCCCTCTGAATACCTTGCCTAAGCAACCCAACTATCAAAGGTCCAAAATGCTGAGCTGCCAACGCTACGAGAACCCCAAGTCCTTGCGATGCTTGTGTCGAGTAAATGCGTAAAGTCTACCCAGATAGATGCGAATGATACGAGAATCAGGATTCAACACTCTTAGAACAACTTTTCAGGAACAAAATCCACACTCGCCCCAATTCCACAGCTAAATCACCGAATGAATCTTATCAGCGAAGCTGAAACTGGTTAATTACGGCGAGCACAATAGCGCATTTTTTTCCATAAATGAGAAAATGCGGTAAAAATAAGATAAAATCCCATACCCTCACCCTTCCTAGTTGCTCTTGCGCACGTTCCCAAGTTGGAGGTATGCGCGTGGTGTAAAGAAGCTGAAGCGAAGTTGGCGGAGAGGCAATTAAATTGTTTTTTTTTTTTGTTAGGAAACATCGCCTGGCAGCCTCGCCCATAACTATCGCAGAACTACTATGTTCCAACATTTTAGGACAATTCATACCTAGGTGTGAATGTCAGATTTTTTTGAAGAGCGATGCTACATGCGTTAGACTAGCAATAAACTTCCCAGATAAAGCAGTGATCATCAAAACAAATATAAACAATAGAATGCATAGTCTTCAACTTGATTATTGCGAATATTGCACAACCACAGATTGTGGCATATGTACTAGATTCTAGAACGACAGCTGATATTTAGCTCAGACACTTCAATATCAACTTTTTCCGTGCTGTGAAGCGTCAATAAGCCTAGCTATGTTGACGATAGAACAGATAGCATCTTTGCATACGAGGGCTACATTCAACTGACTTCAGCATTGTTAAAAGCACATAACCACGAACAAGTCGACATCCACTCCGAGATGCCAAATAAGAGGCGTCGGATGCCGGTTAGAACCGTCTTTGCTTTGTATGGACATCTTACTTTTGGTCGTCATGATCAACGGTAACAGTTTCAGCTTTTTTTCAAACCCTATAAATTGCCCTCAGCGGCGCTCAGTTATTGCCGCATCGCCCTGACCAGTTGTGTGCAAAATATGCATCAGCACATTCCTTTATGTTCTATTAGTACACCTTTCTAGCTTTTGTTAAATGCGATTTAACAGAAATTATTTACGATAAAAATATGATTCAACACATTTAATAAAATCATCGCTATAACGATCAAAATAAATATAAATACATACACCAAAAATGTAATAATATAAAAACAATACTAGATTAGGGAGTAGATAATTAAGTCGCATTGCTGGCAATGCGACTCTTTAGAAGTTCGTTTTCTTGCTTTACCGCTGACAAATCGTTCTTCAGCCGAGATAGCGCCTCGGCAATATCTTTACGTTGCTCCTGCGCGACCTGAGTAACAAGGGCTGGCTTTATTCATAAATTACATGATTATCGGACACAAATTACCATTCAGCACTTAAAACATAATTCACGACTAAACATGTATAAATTTATACATCATGGTGTCCAACATGATATATATGCTATAATAGCAGGTTAAATCAATATCGGTCGGGATAGATGCCTCCAACATGAAAACCTTCTATCACAAATCTCATCACAACCCGGTAGTATTGAACTGAGAAAAATATCAAATTAAAAATCGGCATTAGCCAACGAACATTATCTTTTTACACATTCTTCCACTTTCATCATTTCACCAACATGCATGAAAAACTTGCGTCACTTTACCACGACCAAATAAATAGTATTACAGTTCATCTGAACATTTAAATCCCATAACATTCATCAGTGGCTAAAAGGAGAGTTGACATTGCAGACTAACTTTTTATCTAACCTTTTTTATTGCTTAAGAATATTGCGTTAAAGAAATTATTTCTGCCATTTACTTGTTCGCGAAGATCAGCAGTCTTGCGCTTGATCACTCCAGTCTCCCTTAGGACGTCAACGATCTCGTTGCAGGCGTCGTGCATAGCTATGACGGTGCGGTACAGTCCCGTGCCTCCAGTCATCCAGGACGCCTGGGCAAATCATTTATAGGTGCAGCGTGGAGTCATTAATATAGTACGGTTCATAACGTTAAGCTAAATTTCCCCAAATGTACATGCTTTTGCACTTGACCAGGTTAACATAAATTTCAATTTAAGACCCTGGAGGGAGATTTACCAGATAAATACATGTATTTAAAACATCAATGTGAAGGTTTCTAATGAAATCATTTTCTATGAAACAACTTATGATGATGTTACAACTCGTCGTTCTCTTCGCCTGTTCAGCAGGTCGTAACATTTCATCTCACCTGGTACGACAGTTCTTCAACCACTGCAAAACTTCGATCAATTTTACCCTCAAGCGAATTAATTTCTTTTTGTAGTTTTCTGATATTTTGCAGTACTTCCTCCGTCACATGTCGCTGCTTGTGAACTTTCGCCGTTATGTCCAGGATTTGTTTCGTGTACACCGACCTGCAAAATTTCGAAGTAAAGTTTGGTTTTTGGGTGACCATTTCTAAGGCTGAGTTTAATAACGGTCTGGTGGGACTAAATTCGCATCCAAGATTGGCATACCGTATCACCGTTCCCTCAAATGTCATATCCTTATTATTAAATTTGGTTGTCTTTCAGGACGAATCGCCATTGCACTACGTAAAGGTTATGCTATCAATATTAATCATTTAAGCTTCTGGTCGCGTGGGTGAGGAAGGCAAACTACACACACACACACACACCTGTCGTCGCTAACATTGTTTATTTCATGATAATTGGTCAATATATGAGTTCCTTAGTCATTAAGAATTTTTACTTGAAAACCAATCAAGATATAACACTAACCTGCTAATAGCCTGGCCTCTGCCCTGAATTTTCTTTTCAATCGTTTCAGCCTGTGCCTCGATGACGGGGATGTCTTGCAAGAAGTCCTGACGTTCAGAGCGCAGCTTCTCAATCTCGGAAGTGAGGGCCTCAAATTCTGCCTGTTACAGAAGATAAGCTCATGTTGCATGATTGAACAGGAGTATTACGAAACTGGATAATCAGCTCGAGCCTCGAAGGAACTATAAAGAACAATTACAATTATATTCATGTATTCCAAAAGGCTCTCTTTTGAATGATTTTAGGAATGCACGAGGTTAAAATGGAAAATGAGCTTAAAACTAAAATATTTACACAGTATCGATAATATTAAAAACAAAAATATTCTAGTCACTATCACGTTTAAAGCATAAAATTACCGGCAGTCACGTATTCATACACTTCTTATATTAGAATACTTAACTGAGCAATCGAAAGAGGGGATGCAATAGGGATAAATCCTACGCCAACTATAACATTCTTGAACAATCCGGATTTGAACACACATATATGTAGTAATGAATAAATATGGGTACATTTAAAAGATCAATTGATTGACATGACCAAGTTGCTCGGACCTGTTGAGTAGTGACACTATTTTTGACTATCTCTATCTGCTCCTTGAGCGGAGCACAATGCTGCTCGAACTGCTCTCTGAGCTTTTCTGCTCGTGCTGGTGCTGCAGCAATGACCGACTCGAGCCGAGCCCGACTCTGCTCGTAGCTCGCCAACAGACTGAGGGAAACTTCAGCAGACTCGAGGGACTCCCGCACCTCACGCTCGCTCTCCTTTACGACCTCCAGCTCCGCCGACAACTGAATAGGTAATTGCAATGGTCAGGTTATTACTGGAGATTATTTCCATGAATGTAACAAGATAAAAACAAATCAACTTCACCTAAGGCGTAGTATGAATTTTTCTATGGAGGCTAAAAAGTTTTTCATAAGGCTTATTCAAGCTCATCAACAAACGTACCCGGTATCTATAATCATTATTGGAAAATAAATGAACTTACTTTCTCGTTCTGAAGAGCAGCTTGATGAATGACACTCAACTGCTGTCGTTCAGACTCTTCGAGCTGAGCAATTTCGGCGCGCAGCTCCTCGAGACTTTGCTGCTGCTCTTGAGGGGGCGGCTCATCCAATGAAAGGTTCATCATAGGAGACAGCGGAGAGAGCGGCGTCACGAGGCTGTCGGTAGATGGCGATATCACGTGCAATAACGGGTCCAAATTAGTGGTCAGCTTAGCACTCGAACGCACAGGCAGTGCCCCACACTGCAGCTGCCGGGCATGACTTGCCAAGATGCTGCAGAGGAGAAGACGGCTGTCAACCTGACCCGAGTCATCTCGCAAGACGCGCTTTAAACAAGCAGGGCGAGATAATGTACACTCTTCCGTGGACAGGAGCTTACGGGAGGCAGGTTGGGGCGATAGGCCAAGGGGCAGCGTTGAGCGAGACGTAAACGTCCGTAAATGACGAGTTTCACCAAGGGGCATCAGTAAGTTGCCATTCTGCTCAAATATAACAAGATGAAGACGTTCAAGGCAGTAAAATCGTACCCGGACATTTTTCCCACAATGCGAGAAAAAAAAAAACGATTTTCTTTCTATATTTCGTTCCTAGCTATTTATGATAAATTAATTATTAAGAGTGATGAAATTTCTGGGGGACGACTGCAACTGATTATTTAGCGCATTTTCTCATTTGTGTAAAAAAGGCGCTATTGTGCTCGTCACGTCCGTCCGTCCGTCCCTCCGTCCGTGACCACGTTTTCGTCGACGAAAAAATGCGCTCTCTGTCACTCACTGCAGTGAGTACTGAGTTATATTTTTTATTTAACAGAATAACTAAACATGAAATTTCATTCTTAATTCAGTTACCACAAACTACATACGATTTAAAACAACGTCATTTCACTGAACACAAATTAATCATAACCTCAGCGTGGCTAAAATGGTAGCCAGTTGATCGCTGTGTGATGATATCACTCAGAAATTTTGGCGCAATTTAACATTGAAAAATCTTAGGAAATAAGCTCAAGCATACCGGTACCGCTTTTATTGGTATTTTTATTAGGAAAACTTGCTACAGCCAGAGACAAAGGTGTTTTCTTCGTGTGATCACTATCAAAATCACTCAAATTACGACTACATCCATAAACGCGGTTATGCTTGCGTCTAATTGCAACAAGACAAAACTTCGCTAAAAACCTACTAGTTTGTCCCGCCGTTTGAGGAGAGCGTGGCGGCAGTGTGGGGGCAGCCAGGGTCGTGACAACGCCTGCCGCAGGTGCTGCTGAGCTCTAGCGAGCAGCACTCCGGCTGGGGCTTGAAAAAAGACGGAGAATATCTTCACACTCATCACATTTATAATTAATTCAAATATTCCTGATTTTAGTTAATTTATGACTTCGCTCATAGCTTATTAATTAGAAAAAATATGACTTTCGTGTCATGAGGACATTTTTGTTGCTCCTGCAAAAATTACGAGGAAGTTAGTAAATATTATTCATGAAGTTTTAGAGTACTAAAAAGTTTGTAAATATTATTTATGAATTTGTAGAGCACTATCGAGGATGTAAGTGATATTATTTATGAAATTTTAGAGTAATGAGGAAGTTAGTAACATCATTAGCTGGAAAAAATAGGGAGAATTTTATGAGCCTTATCATTTTTCTTAACACGAATTTAATCTGATCAAAAATCTATAAACCTACAGAGGTCTTCCCGCTGAACCTCGATGTCTTCTTTAGGGAGACGCTCCAGGAGAAATGAGAAGAAGCGCCGGACGTCAACTTCGTTGGGGTAGAGCAGCGACTGGTAGCCAAGGTCCCCGGTGTAGCCTAAAGCCTGGGTGGTAAGCACACTTCAGAGGGGAAAGTGCGTCTTCTGGCTTAGTAAATACAAGTGACCTCGCGCATTAAAGCAGCATTGCTTTGGTTGTGTCAGGTTGGCAGAATGTTTAGCTAAATGTCTCTTCAAATTAATGATTAGCTAAAAACATAGGAGACAGAAGATGATTCTAATCCATATCCTACTTTGTCTGCTTCCACATCACTTACAACGATTTTGAATGTCTATATTATACTCGGAAAAATTGGGTAATGGGATGAGATTTACAGCATACATCTCCGATGTAACTATTCACATCACTTTGTAAGGGATTGGATAGGATATATATTTTTCATTTTGTTTTAGAGAGAGTTTGACGTGACCTTAACCGAATAGCGGAACCTAGTTTAGTCTTGTGGTTGCCGTCGATGTGTAAGGTACGTCTCGTGTAAATAGGAACAGTGGAAACAGTGGATGCTAGGATTACTATCGTTTGTCATGCGTGCAATTTGTGTAAATATTTGTGTCAATTTTAATGCTCAAATTTCGTGCTTCTTATTATGATCAATATTTATGTACATGTCGATTCTTTGCTAGATATTTATTCTTGTTTGTTTATTTATTTCAGGAGTCTCAGTAATAGTCTTGATTAAAGAGAACATACCAGTTATAGTCATATCAAGTCATTAGTTCCCGGTGTTTATACTTGTAAATAAAGATTACTAAGAAACCTTGTTCTCACTGTGGCTAATGGATGGACCTATATGATCACTTGGCTGAATAATGCAGGGACGAAGACGGCTTGTTTTTCTTTTTGTCGGAGTGCGTCCCTAGTAACTTCAATATCTCCGAATATCAAAAGGTTAGGAACTCACTAAGCATTTACAAACTACCTAAATACATACAATGCAATGCACTGAAGATTACACGCAACCTAAATACTTACAATGCGATGCACTGAAAACGTAGCAATAAATATCAATGACGCTCAACCGACCTTAACGGCATCGGCGATGGCCGTGGCCGCTCTGAATCTCTGAGCGATGTTGGGAGGCAGCTTGTGGGACAGCGACGCAAACTGCTTAGCGTCGATCGCCTTCAGACACACCACGACGCCCTCCACCACCGCGCCCATCCCAAGCTGCGACAGCGACTCCACATCTTCCTCCAAGTCACTATGGCCAGAGTCTTGTTGTAAATTTCCCGTAAAGGAACAAGTCTAAAGTCAGGCATTGGTGTAAAATTTTCGTAATTTTTCATTATTGTTACTCAATGCTTTTTTTTGGAAAGCATTTAAACCTAGAAAATCCAGTGTGAGTGCACTCAGTCAACTTTTATAAAGCGAGAAGTAATTGAACTCAACTCAATAATTGTACAGGTTACTCACCAGCCAATAGCAGCAAGAGATGTGAGAATTATCTTGTCTACCTGTTCCATGCCTCAAACCTAAGGTATATCAAGGCACCAGTCGTCTGAATGTATTCCAGCATCACATAACCATTATTTCCTTGGAAATCACTTCGGTTTAGTACAGACGACAAGAAGATTTAATGGGAAATCTGCAACTTAATTTTCGATAGAAAGCCGTTTAAAAAATAAAATGGAACCAGAATAAGAACTTAAATTTGATGAACAAGTATTGATAACATGGCATGTAGCAAATTTTATCTGATACATCTCTAACCAAGTCGTTCTTATTTGATCAAATCTCCAATATTCGATCCATGGTATACAGTTTTGTTCCAATCGTTAACAGCATTTCTCACGATTTTGCCTGACCATGGATAGAATAAATAAACACTGCCAAATTTATCAATATTAAGCTCTAAATATTCAGGATCATCACTGCACTGGGTAGCCCAAGGGATCGTGCCGTGCCCCTTAACCGTTGCCAGCTAGCGACGGCACCCTGAGGGCATCCAAGAAGTTTGCATTGTAAAAAATAACAATTATTTAATTGGCTCGGAATACTGTAATGGTCTCATACGAAAATTAACATAGAGAAAGGAAAAGCACAAGAGGTAAATCCAATTATTCAGTATATTAAAGCCTCAAATTTGTGTTTGAGGCTAATTCGTCAGAAAAACTTACATCATCAGACTGTTCGGAAAGAGCTTTTATCAAAATAACATAGTAATTAACAGGGTATTTGCATTTTGGAAACTGTATCTTTACAGAATTCAAAATAAAACCTAATATTAATGATACAAATACAAGAATGTGTTGTCAAAATTTGAACGCAGGAGAAGTATACAACATAATGATGAGTTTGAAGCTATAAACAAACCTAAGTGTCTGTGAATTGATGGGGTTTCAAAATTCAATTTACAAGTATTACATTAGCCCAACAAAATACAAAATTACTTGGTATATCTTATTTCCCTGTATCTAGCAACATTCCTCAGAGTGGTGTCACGAATGGTGGCTTCATCAAAGAATCTGTGCAGTTTCTTTGAGCCCCGCCGCTTGGCTGGATCTTTATGACTGTTTGCTGGTGCTAAGTTGGGCATCAAACCAGCTTTCTTCGACATGGTTACAAGCTTTGTAAGTTTTGTTTGTTGAACGCAGCAAAGTCCTGTTATGCGACGAGGCAAAAGTTGTCCATTAGGACGAACAAATTGACTCAAAACAAGAACATCAGTGTGCTTCAAGTTGAGATTCAAGGCACACAATGGGCAAACTTTTTCATCATTTGGTTTGAAAACAACTTTACCACTATGAGGAGACTCGACATACTTTCCTTCAACAATGGTAGTGTTACCCTCTGTTGTTTTTTGAATCTCTTTCAAATGATTTCTAACAGAAGTTGAAAAAGAAGCATCTTGAGATGGAAGAAATTTCATTGGGTTGGATAAGAATGGAGAGTTTATATGAGATGAAATGTAGTTCACTCCTGTTGGCCCATTGAAGGCGATGGGCAATGTTACAGCTGTTTGCCGCCACAGGTGAAAGGCTCCAGCGACAGGCAATCTCATCTTCATGCAAATTCCGGACATGATGGTTACCTTCAATCTTCTTCAATAGAAGGTAAATGTAAAATGGCCACAGGATCTGCAAACGAAAAAGGAAATTATGATGTGAGAAATAAATTCTTATAAAGGCTTCAGTCATTTAGAAATAAATTTTCAATTTTTAAGTGCATTTTGTAGGTATTTTAATGGCAACAACAGTTCTTAGAAGAAGACGAAATTTCTGGAAAAATTCAACGCATGTTCTTGACATCAGTTGAACAGAATTGTTGACAGCATTGCCCATGATGTATTATCATAGAAAGTTGCTGAGTGTGCTGATGAACATGAAAATCAAAAGGAAAATGGAAATGAACAAAAAGAAAATTAATGTTATTACTAGTTTTCTTGGGTAAAATAACAGGTTTACCCTGTACTTGAGATGGATAATACCTCTTAACTGAGAATCTTTCCATTAAATTTTCTATCCAAAATCATATTTGATCATTCCTGAACCAAAGGGCTGTCAACATAAGGAAAACAGATGCAGACCATCAATTAACATAGTAACAACATTAGAAAAAATTCCTAATTGGCCTGTTTTTGAATGTTGAATTATTTTGATTTTATAATTTACAAGAAACAAAATATGGCCATTACCATACTTTAAAGACACAAGTTTACAGATTTTTTAATGTTTAATGCTTTTATCCTTTGAAACCATTGTGGAAGGCATGGGTGGTTAAGATTATTTTGCAGCACACATTTCATTGTTATCACTGTGTTTATACCTCCTTTTAAATTGTTTACTAATTTAACACAAAATATTTTACATTATTTTTAATTAATGGGAAGTAACAGCGGAGCAATGAACTAATGCATGTCAGAATGCTAAGTAAGGCTTTACAGATAAATACAATCAGCTTCTGTGAATATAATGCATCAGGATGCATTAACTACAACACCGTTGATATAATTTATAGTAACGGCCTTAGTAGCTTATGACTCCTTTATACCTACGAAGCACATCATTACCTCTATTCAAATTGTATTACAATTTTAGATCTTTTCTTTCATTTTATTATAATTTGCACTCCTCACTGCATGAGGTACTTAATATAGTAATTGTACCTCAATTGTAATTAGAACCACTATCCAGGTTTCATTTTTCTCTTCAATATTAGGCATAGATCAATTTGTTTTGAATTGACCACTTGCTGTTAAGTAGGGGACTAGTTCGTCTCACCTACATTAAAGCACCATTAATATAAAGGCATCTCTGAAAGGATTGCATTAACACTTTCTTCACTTGCACACAAATAATATAGCATAATGCACTTGATTATGACACATTCAGGACCTAATCTGAGCAGATAACTTTAGTTATGTGGACTATTAATACTCCACTGCGCCCTGATACCAAGGTGTAGCATCAATTAGGTCTAGAACTAAAAATTCAGCAGAGGGAACCATACCTGTGCAATTTGAGACATTTACACCTTCTTACGATTCTTATCACTCAAACCCAGTCCTGATCAAGGCTCTGAACATTCAGTCACTGCTTGAAAATTTGCTTATTCCTATGCGAGTGCCACAAACCAACTTGGATATGCCAAGATAGGCCTTGTTTCCATATTAGATTGGCAATGAATTTAGAGCATCCCATGCAAAGAGATAGACAGCTTCTCAGAATATGCCAAAACTAGCCTCTTTGAATTTGCTTAAATTGTTTACCTAAAGAGATGCTGTAAATCATTTGCCACGCAGATAATGGTATCCTAGGTATCCTACCCTTCATGTACATTCAGTCTATTGCTAGTGCTAGCTATGCAAATGACAAATTGGAGGAAAGTGTCATAGTTTGCAAATGGGGGATGCCACCCCCAAATGGGGGAACTTAGACCATCTAATGTCAGCCCTGACGGGGTAACATAGACCGGCTTGGAAGTTAATATAAAATTACCATATATAACATATTTTATGTTTGACAGCCTATTTATGTTTTTTCTTTAGGTTTCAGACTCTACAGAGTCTTATATATTGTAATTTTAACTTAATTTCCAAGCCAGTCAATATTTACCCCGTCAGGGCTGCCATTAGGTAGTCACATTTCCCCCATTATGGAGCGGCGCCCCCCCATTTGCAAACTATGACACTTTCCTCAAATTTGTCATTTGCATATGTAACTAGAAGAGTTCTACTACAATGCACCAAA